CCCTCAAAAAAAAAAAAAAAAAAAAAAAAAAAAGACCTTCTTGAAAACTCCCCACATTGAGTTCTTGAGTCACAGAAAGTCCCAGTGTCTCAGGAGGTTTGTGTTCAGCTCCCCCTGCAGTCTCAGTCACTGTGTCACTCACAGCACAGAAGTACACAGCCGAGTCATTCCAGTAAACTGAGTGTTTCTTCAGGTGGAAAGTAGTGTCACTCTTCCTGAAGACAGCCTCAAAATCTTTGATGCCTTTAACCAGGGTGTCCCCTGAAAAGTACCTGAGGACAAGCTGGAGTCCTTGGTTGGGGTACTGCACGTACCAGAAGAGATATGGTGAACTAGAAGTTGAATATTTGCACTTCAGCTCTAGTGCTTCTCTTTCAAAGACGGTGACATGGCTGTCAGGCTGGGTTGCTGACTGCGCTCCGGTTCCTCCTGAAACATCAATGCTGTATGAGTAAAAGCAGGGCAGACTTGGCTATGAGGAAAAGCTGTCTCTATTCAGGTTCCAATTAGAACACGGTCACTTTCGTGCAAGTAGGAAAGGGAATAGAATGTTACTTACTCAGGGCAAAAATCATCTCAAGCACTGGGATGAGTAGCAGGAGCATGGCTGAGCAATGGAAGGGCTGCAGGCTCCAGAGCAGGTAGGACAAGAGCTGAAGTCACTGAGCCTTCGGAGCTATAAGACTAGTGGAGAGGTTGTGTTGACTAAGCTCCTTGCCTTGACAACGCTTAATGAGTTGGGATCTTTTCTGGCCTCTTATTCTCATTACAGGTTCCTATCTACACAGACATCAATGAGGATACAACAGCCAGCTGCAAGGGGAGGGCCTAAGAGGTTGGTGATGATTTGCAACAAAAGCAAATGTCTCACTTGTGCAACTTCGCCCTCTGGAGGCCAGAGGCAGGATCAAAGACTCAAGAGAGCTATTTGCTTCTCATTTCAGAGATGTGATGTCAAAACTGCAACATCACGTGTTTCTTCCTTCCCCAATCTGTGATGATGTCACCTTCTGTAGTAGGTGGTGTTAGTCCTAAAACAAACTAGAAATGGGAGTTAAGTACAAATAGAAGAGTAACTTACTTCGTTGAGAAATTAATCACAGAAGACAATATTCTAGACTTTAGAATACTGTTGAGAAACTATTATTTTTTAAAGCCATTCATCAGGTAGAAAGACCAAGATCAACTGCCTCAACTGAACTGAGTTTCATATTGCCTTGAACTGCTGGATGTGAGCATCAAAGTGGGCAAAAGATATTATTCCTTTATTTGGTGCTAAAAAGAGAAAAAAATACATTAGACCAGAGACTTGTACTTAAAATCAGCCTGGAACACATCTCATTAATTATTTAATCAATGTGAATAAATAAAGGCAATAATTTTCTTTGTCAAGCAGAAAATGTGAAGAAAACTCCTTGGTTTCAGGTAAATAAACTTGATCTTTGTGTAGGCTGTGAGTAAATAACTTGGGCACCATATGTTTAAGTGGAGAAAGAGAGAGGCCTATTCCATTTATCAATGGTCAGAATAGGCTGATATATTATGCCATATAATGGGGACCTCACACTAAAAAGAACATTGACAGAGGAGTATCTGTGGAGAAACTTGAGCAGAATTATAAAAGTAAGGGAAATATGACATATAAATAAGTGATTCTGGAAAGGACTCAGGAGAGAAAAAGAAATATAAACCTATATGACCTCAGGAAAGCTGGAAGGAGTACCAAGATCAGAGCAAAAATGAGAGGAATTTCTGTGGAATATTAAAGACATGAGAATAGATTGACAGTCACGTTCAACATAGCTAAACAAGCAACAGTCTTGTGTGGGTAGGAGACAGGACCTATCCAACAAGTTAAGTCCACTCTATGGTCTAATAAATGAAACCCTTAAGGGAGAAGATGTCCCTACCCAACTTATTTTGGCATAGAGAACACTAGAACCAAAAACTGAAATAATAACTAAGGAGGGAAATCTTGGGTAAAATGACAATCTGGCCAACAGTGGTCCTTTTCACCAGGTCAGAACAACTTACTCCTTTCTGAGTACTCTGTTGAGTTGTACCAGCTTGAAATCTGTTCTCCCTTATGCTTCTGATTTAGTTCTTTACCCTGCTGATGGGTTGCCATTCACATGTGAAACTAAATCATGTAGTCGGTTTGAAATTTTAAATGTTACTTCTGATTCAAAATGTTTTACTAAGCATATGTACTCTCCTCCCTTCTCTCCAGAATTCCCATTGAAATAAAATTTAGAGGAACAAACAGGATGAACCTAAATCTATAGTGAGAAAAATAATAAAAAGATGAAAGATACGAACAATTCCTGTAAGATGGAAAGTAGACGTGAGCACATTGATGGGTGAGACAGAGAGGGGAAAAGCCTAGCCCAGAATGAACTATGAGAAGATTGAAGGAAACTTACTGCTTCGGAACCTGGAGCATTTCTGGGCTGAGAAAGAGAATGGGTATGAAGGAAGACAGGAGGGACAGAATACAAGGGGACAGACTGAAGGTCAATGTTTGGAACAGCTACACTAGTCACCCTCTGTGCTCTCCACCCTGCAACTCATATGTGAGAAGCATGGGAGGCCAGCCTGTGCACAGGATGCACAGAATGTACACATTTGATCTTTGCTAAAGTTAAAATGAAATACCTGGGAATACTAACATTTTTAGTGTGAGTAGTTTACAGAATTAAGGCACCTTCAAACTGATACTAGGTGTAAGGGCAGGGGAAGAAGAACTGAATAACCAGTTTCCTGCTCATTCATCTTAATATGCAGCCTGCCAAGGAACATGATATGCCCACACACCCACACTACTGACCAAAATACTCATACACAAAGAAATCTTGTGCGAAACATGGGTACAATGACATAAGGAGTTCATCCTACTACCCAACCTTTCATTGTTAAATATAAACCAAAAATAAAGTAACATTAGTCGTTTATAAGTACAGGTGATATCTCTTTCCCTCTCTCTCCCCACACATGGAAACCAATAGTCATCAGCTGTGAATCAGCAAAGACATTTATACCTGGGTACAAAGTGGTGACAACATGCTGTGCTCTATTGTCTAGTGGTATGGGAATGTAGTATTTTGAAAGTGAGCAAATAACCTAAGAAAATAATATACTGGCCCCCTGGTCATTACTCTCAAAAAATCTTGAGTCTTGGCTTTCAATCCTTATATTTATTTAGATTTTTTTCTCTTAACAAGTGCTTTAATCTACATTATTTCAATTATTTCAAATTGGTAAGACCAGCTTTATAAACCTTGTTAAATGGAGAAAAAAATTAAAATATCAAATCCAATAATTATAAAATCTATCATTTATTGAATGCTGACCATGTGCCAGGAGAGTTTCATGTTAATAGTAGACACTGTTTGTGCCCAGTCTAGTTTCCCTGTTTCTGGCCAGTGTACCCAATCTCTAGCTGCTGTGAGTATTGGCTACTCTTGGCTCACAGTTGCCCGCTTTCCCAGAATATTGGCCTTTGCCAATAAAAGTCACTATTGTCCAATAGAGTATACCCTTCCCCAAAGAAAGACCACAGCCAATGATTACCTTATTCTGGGATACGAAATGTTAGCTGTTTCGTCTTCTTGACTCAGAGTAGGAAGGATGAATTCTGTGGTGCAATTTATGCTCCAGAGCCCTCCATGAGGTCAGGCTGAATCAAGACTCCAACTGAAGCACATCCATGATTAGCCCTTTCCCACCTGTCCTAACATGCTTTCTTCAATAAATTATGAGTACAAGAAACCACCCACAGGTTCTGCTTTTAAGGAACTCAATCTAAGACAACATGTTATGTCATTTAATTTTGAAATCACTCCTGAAATACAGATAATAGTATAGTCTAAGATCAAATGACCCATTAGTAACAGAAAAGATATTTTAACTGGCACCACAAACCAGGTTCTCTCCAGTGTATCATGATACCAGAAAGTACACAATGAAACTGGAACTAGGATTTGACTATCTTGATTCCAGCACAACTTTCTGCTCTTTCTCATTGCCTTTCAAATCTTTCTTCCATGATTTGGAAATATTTGTGTAGTCTTCAGCCTGCAGACTGAGAATCTGAAACAAATTCCAGTTGGGTTGCATCCTTTTAGTTGGTGACTATGTGAACAAAACTGAACAGAAACCTTAATTCCCCATTTCCAAGTTTTACCACCCTTTGGACTACATAAACAACACCATGTCTAACAAAGGACAACTTCAGCTTCACAATAAGTGTGACTTTTAATTTTTTTCCTGTAGTTTAACTTAATATCTTTTACAAGGTATTAATTGCCATCAGGCCACAAACATTCTCCCTGGATTTGGGCATAAGTTGTAGGACAATTCTATACTGCCGAGGAGATGGGGAGAAGGCTATTCATATACTCTCCTCTGTTTCCAACTCTTCTCACCAGCATTTTCTAAAACATCCTGCATACCACGTGGTCTTTGATAACTGATCCATGTTATTGCTCTAATAAAGATCCTCGGTGTCTGAAATTCTTTTAGAAACTTACTCAGAGGCTCTTCTCAGGAAATCTGAAGTCTTTCTGTGCTCCCATGTGGTGGTGGAGAAAGAGCAACAACCCTGGCACCTGGGATGGGAAAACCTTGGATCCGGCAGGGGGCAGGATTAATGTTCTATCTGTATCCTAGGTTCAGGACTACAGCCTGACAAAACAACCATATGGTCTGCTGGAGCCAAGCAACAGCTGTGGTTCGCAATCTGACTTGCTCTGGTTGGTTATCCTCTTCGACAGAGTCTATGAAAATAGAAAATATCCTATGAATATGGCCTGCCCTAAACTCTTCTGCTGTGCCTGACACCATCAATGGGAGCTTCCCAACATAGATTCCCATCCCCATTTGTGTACAGACACATAAATCACCACAACCTTGTTTCAATGTGGCTGATGTCTAAGTAGTCTTGAGGTGTGTATCACAAATGACTGTAAAAGTTGTAAATACTCAGTAACACTGCTCATATAGCTTAACCAAATTGGTGTAATGCTGATTCTAATCAAGTTCAACAATAAATCCCAAACTGGATTCACCTGTGCCTCTTTGGATTATATGTTTATGTCTGGGGAGAAAGAACATCTCTCCATTTGAAAAGGTGGTGTTTTTTGACCCCTTTTTGGCAATTAAACCAAAGATTAGTGTGCCAAATTACTTTTCATGGACCCTAATGATTATTATACTATATCCTAGCTGTTTATATGTTGGGACTTATTCACAGTTGATGAATTCTGAGATCTTAGGAGGCATGATTGAGGTTAATGGTGCAGATTGATCTTGCTGTTTAGAGTCTTCTAATAATAGCTTTAATCAAATGTTGTTTGAGACTAATAGAATGGATCAAGTCTCAATCTCTGTCAGTCAGATTATTCAGAATAGCTGATAAAGTTTCCTTCTCATGAGAAAAATTTCTAGAAACTAACACAATGTAGGACCATGGAATGGATTGTGAGTCTCTCATACTCCTATATGACTTGCTGGGTGTGACAGTAATGTAAGACCACGACCTCTCAACCTGAACCATTTCTCAGGGTTGTGCTTGCAACAAGCAACATTGAGGGATGAGGTAATGTTT